CTGTAAAAAAAAAAAAAAAAAAAAAAAAAGTCCTGGCCAGGCACGATGGCTTATGCCTGCAATCCCAGCTGTATGGGAGGCTGAAACAGGTGGATCACCCGAGGTCAGGAGTTCAAGACCAGCTTGACCATCATGGTGAAACCCCACTTCTACTAAAAAAAATAATAAAATAAAATAGCCTGGACTGTTGGCGCATGCCTGTAATCCCAGCTACTTAGGAGGCTGAAGTAGGAGAATCATTTGAACCCAGGAAGTGGAGGTTGCAGTGAGCTGAGACTGCACCATTGCACTTCAGCCTGGGTAACAAAAGCTAGACTTTATCTCAAAAAAAAAAAAATTCTGATGTTGGGTTCCCAGTGTATCAGCCTGGGTTCAACCTGAGAAATAAAACCAATAGGAAATCTATATATGCAGTCGTGCACCACACAATGAAGTTTGGGTGAATGACAGATTGCATGTAGGACAGTGGGCCCATAAGATTATAATGTAGCTGAAAAATTCCTATCACCTCACGATGTTGTAGCTGTCATAACGTCACACAGCACAATGCATTAGTCACATGTTTGTGGCGATGCTAGTGATGCTACTCATCAGCCAGTCATAAAAGTATCACACATACAATTATGCCCAATACATACTTTTTTTTTTTTTTGAGGCAGGGTCTCACTCTGTCACCCAGGCTGGAGTACAATGGTGTGATCTCAGCTCACTGCAGCCTCTGCCTTCCAGGTTCAAGCCATTCTCCTGCCTCAGCCTCCTGAGTAGCTGGGATTATAGGTGCATGCCATCACACCCTGCTAAGTTTTGTATTTTTGGTAGAGACAGGGCCTCACCATGTTGCCCAGGCTAGTCTCGAACTCTGGAGCTCAAGTAATCCGCTGGCCTCAGCCTCCCAAAGTGCTGGGATTATAGGCATGAGCCACTGCACATGGCCCAGTACATAATACTTGATAATCATAATAAAAGACCTGACAGGAGGCAGAGCTCAGTGATGGGGATCGGCTGTAAATACAGATGGAGCTCTGCTCACTCACTCCTGCTCTGCAGCCTGGTTCCTGTCGGCAGGCACAGTGGCTCACACCTGTAATCCCAGCACTTTGGGAGGCCAAGGTGGGTGGATCAGTTAGAATCAGGAGTTTGAGACCAGCCTGGTCAACAGGGTGAAACCTCATGTCTACTAAAAATACAAAAATTCACTGGGTGTGGTGGCAGGTGCCTGTAATCCCAGCTACCTAGGAGGCTGAGGCAGGAGAATTGTTTGAACCTGGGAGGTGGAAGCTGCTGTGAGCCAAGATCACCTCACTGCACTCCAGCCTGGGTAACAGAGTGAGACTCTGTCTCAAAAAAAAAAAAAAAGGAACCTTGTCATTATGCAATGCGTGCTGCATGACCACACACCACACACACACACGCACGTGCACACGCGCATATACCTATACATGAATGTACATAGATATGACTTAAATGACTTTTTGCAAGGATTTGACCTTCTGCAACTGTGGGAGCTGGTTAAGCAGTCTCTAGAACTGACTTTGTCTTTCCTTCTTTCCTTTCCTTGTCTTCCCTGATGCCGGCACCTGCAGTCCACAGGGCAGACAGCCAGGAAGGGAAGATGACGGCCATAACCTAAAGAAGCAAGAACAAGCTGAAACCCACAAACTCGAGCTGGAGCCCAGGAGGATGAATGAAACTTGTCAAAGTGCCCTATGGCCTCTGCCCTTGGGTTTTGTGTCATGCAGAAGGCAGGGTCCTTCCCAGTGGAGCCAGACACACGCACCAGGTCCAGATGTGGGAGAACCCGGAGGCGATCCAGGGGCAGGTGGAGCTGTGACAGGCCCAGCTGACAAGGGGAGGCAGCAGATGAGCAGTGCAGTGGGTGAGCTACAGAGCGGCTGCTGCCTCCCCTGCACCTTCCACACCTCCCATAGGAATCCCTGCTTCAGTCCCCGCTACTGGAAATCACACGAGAATGGGAATTCTGGGAGGTGTAATTCAGCCAGGCTACCCACTGTACACAGCCTTTATCTTTTTTTTTTGAGACAGGGTCTCACTCTGTCACTCAGGCTGGAGTGCAGTAGCGTGATCTCCACTCACTGCAACCTCCACCTCCCAGGTTGAAGCCATTCTCCTGCCTCAGCCTCCTGAGTAGTTGGGATTACAGGTATGCACCACCACCACTGGCCAATTAAAAAAAAAATACACACACACACACACACACACACACACACACACACATACCACACCACACACACACACACAGACACACACACACACACACACACACACACTTTTTTCTTTTTTGTAGATATGTTGTTTCACCATGTTGGCCAGGATGGTCTTGAACTCCTGATCTCAAGTGATCTGCCCACCTAGGTTAGTAGGCCTCCCAAAGTGCAGGGATTATAGGCGTGAGCCACCTTGCCTGGCTCACATCCAGCTTTCATCTAAGGCCAGTCTTTCCAGAGGACTTGTCAAGTGGCCTTTTGTAAGGGATTCCAAGCTGCCTCCTGAGAAAATCCACGAATTTGGTGCAAAGCCAGGGACCAGACTCAGAAAAGAAGTGTCAGCCTGTGCAGGATGCAGTCCGTCTGTCTTATGGTCACAGGCTGACGGCAGAAGTCCTCTCCCTCTGTAGCTCTGTGCTGACTGGGCTGTCATGAAAGGGCTCATTGAGGAAAATCTCTAGTGAGTTTGAAAGCACCGGGCCTCAGTGGGGTTGGCACCAGCCACTTTGGCAATGATGAGAGACAATGTCTTTGACTTCAGAAATCAGTGGCTTTAGCTAGGCACGATGGTTCATGCCTGTAATCCCAGCGCTTTGGGAGGCCAAAGTTCGCGGATCACCTGAGGTCAGGAGTTCGAGACCAGCCTGGCCAACATGGTGAAAGCCTGTCTCTACTAAAAATACAAAAATTCTCAGGAGGTGGTGGTGGGTGCCTGTAATCTCAGCTACCCAGGAGGCTGAAGCAGGAGAACCACTTGAATCCAGGAGGCGGAGGTTGCAGTGAGCTGAGATCACGCCACTGAACTCCAGCCTGGGTGACAAGAGCGACAGAGCTAGACTCCACAAAAAAAAAAAAAAAAAAAAAAAAAAAAAAAAAATCAGTGGCTTCGCTGGTCAGTAATGTCTCACCAAGGCACCATGCACTGCGCTGGGTGTTCAGAGCATCGCAAGAGATGCCACGCATGAATAGGACAGGAAAATGGAGGCTATCATGCTGGTGGACAAGGGGACTGACTACAGGGACCCTGCCCAGGAGAGGCATGGCCAGGGCTGTGTTAGAGTCCTCAGAAGGGTTTCGTGAGGCGTGGTGGGGCACACCTGTAATCCCAGCTACTTGGAAGGCTGAGACAGGAGAACTGCTTGAACCCAAGAGGTGGAGGTTGAAATGAGCTGAGATCTGGCCGGGCGCGGTGGCTCAAGCCTGTAATCCCAGCACTTTGGGAGGCAGAGGCGGGTGGATCACGAGGTCAAGAGATCGAGACCATCCTGGTCAACATGGTGAAACCCTGTCTCTACTAAAAATACAAAAAATTAGCTGGGCGTGGTGGTGCGTGCCTGTAATCCCAGCTACTCAGGAGGCTGAGGCAGGAGAATTGCCTGAACCCAGGAGGCGGAGGTTGCGGTGAGCCGAGATCGCGCCATTGCACTCCAGCCTGGGTAACAAGAGCGAAACTCCGTCTCAAAAAAAAAAGAAAAAAAAAGAAATGAGCTGAGATCGTGCCACTGCACTCTAGCTTAGGTGACAGAGAGAGACTCTATCTCCAAAAAAAAAAAAAAGAGTCCTCACAGGGGGGTCTCCAAGAGCCATGGACCCATGACTGTTACTGCAGACCTCGTTTTAACCTCAGCCCAACTGATGTTAGTGTGGCCCTGAAAACAAGCATCAAATATTGAGAGTCCATCAATATTTGTGGACAGAAAGGTGGCAAAATCATATTCTCAAAGGATAGAGCTGCTCTGTTGAGATTGGGTTTACTACAGAGGCTGAGCAAAAGCTTTTGCACGTATTCAAAGGAGAAAGAAGATGTCTCTAGCCACGGTCACAGAAGAAGACTTGCCGCCATTTCACAGGAGCAGCTCCACTGTGGTATTTGCATTAGAAGATTTCCTAGAAAAACAGCTGGAGTGGCCCCAAAGTGGACCCATTGCCTGAGAATATCAGTGCCATCTTTGACTCAGACACCATCGGCTGGTCTTCAAGACCCAGCCCATTCGAGTGCAATTTTCTTATGTCTGAGGAGGATTGAGCTTGATGCCATCTTTGCAAACATGATGTTGGATTTTACAATCTCTGGGAATTTCTACAGAGGTTTAAACATATTTCTATATGCAAATGAAATGCATTCCAGCACAAGAAAAAAAAAGTCATTCTCTAAGACTGAATTAGAGAAACTTCTTTCTAACTGACCACTTGAAAATAAAAGGTCTATGCTGTTTATTGCCCACAAATTATCTTGCCTGAATCAATTAACTACCTGAGTGTCATGTGAACCATGCTGAGCTGTAATCAAGGAAGCTGTCTCCACCTGTCACAGCCTCTTTTCTGCAGCTTCTTCCAGGAATATGTTAAGACAGAGTTTACCTGAAACCATATGTGCTGAGCACCAGCACAAAACTGAGTGGGAGAAAAAATTAACTTGACGCCTTTTCTTTCCTTGCAACTTTTTTTTTTTTGTTTAATCCAGGTTCAGAGATGGAGTCAGTCATGCATACTATCGTCATCATGAACTGAGCAAAGCCCTTTTTATAAAGCTACGGATTCTGAATCCACTGCAGAAGACAATTTCTGGTCTATTTTAAGGTTATGGTTGTTAGTAAGTTCTTCCAAAACCCACCTAATTACGGCAGGAATACTGAGGAGGTGGGAGCTGTGAAGGCTTGTCTGATGGTGACAGTCACTATTTCACAAAACTGCGGAAGTGCAAGTGGTTTGGTCTCTGAGATATTTCCACAGTAACATTTCTCCTTCTGTATCAGGCAGTGATTGCAGTTATGGCCCCCTGAACCAATTTGAGCTAATTTCAGAGAAAAGGGATTTTATATTAAAAGAGGGTTCCTAAATCCAGCTGCCACTTTGTCCACACAGGTAATGAGATGTTGCCTCTAAGACTGGTGCCACTTTTGCCTTTCAAAGTTAAATGTCTCTCCTTCTTGTCATCGGGATGGGTTTTGCACGATACATTCTCGTCCTCCTCCCACCCTTATCTTCCCAGACAAAACCACCCTGCCTGTGGGTCTGACTGGAGAATACTGGCTCCCAGGACAAGGTCTAGCTGCAAGGGAGGTAGTGAAGGTGGTTTCTACTTTGACCTTGGAAAGGCAGGACGCAGGCCGGGTGCAGTGACCCACCCTTGATACCCCAGCACTTTGGGAGGCTGAGGTGGGAGGATTGCTTGAGCCCAGGAGTTTGAGACTAGCTTTGGCAACACAGGGAGACGCTATTGCTATAGAAAAATTTAAAAATTACCTGGGCATGTTGGGGCACACCTATGGTTCCAGCTACTTGGGAGGCTGAGGTGGGAGGGTTGCTTGAACCTGTGAGTTCCAGGCTGCAGTGAGCCATGATGGTGCCACACTGCACTCTAGCTTGGGCAACAGAGTGAGATATTGTCTCAGAACAAACAAACAAACAAATAAACAAACAAACAAAGGCAGGACTCATCAGAGGGTTTAAACTCCTCCAAACGTAAGCAGAGCGATCACAGGATGACAGGTGTGCAACAGCCACTGGGAAGCATAGATGTCCTCACAGCCAGCGTGCCTTTATTCTAGTTCTCACCATCTATGTTTAGAAGAGACATAAACATAAGCTACGGATTTATTTAAAACTCCAGGGTCCGGAATATATATCAGAGATGGGATAATTTTAGCCCTAAATCCTACACCGTCTAAATGTTCACAGCCACGTACAGGGTAGACACAGTAAATGCCTTGGTAAATTGTCTCCATATGATTCTTAATAAAGAAAGAACTCTTTTTATTGTATCCAGTTTAACATGTTTTTATGGTCAGAAATTAAACCAGTTCATGTCAGCAAGATTTGCAGAAATGGGGTTTCAAACCCCGTAGGTTTTCCTAACAAGGTCCGAAAAGACGTTTGGAAGGGTGGGCTAAGGCACCGGGGGTTCCAGTCCTACATGTGGCAGTCTTTTATTCTTCAACACAAAATAAAACACATCAGTTATTTTCAAACTTTTTTTTTTTAATACAGGATCTTGCCCTGTTGCCCAGGTTGGAGTGCAGTGGTGCGATCATAGCTCACTGCAGCCTCGAACATCTGGGCTCCAGCAATCCTTCTCAGTAGCTGAGACTACAGGTGTGAGTCACTATGCCCAGCTCTAGGCAGCAGCAATACTGACCTCCATGCTATTTGATCACTGAAAACCACACATCTTTCCATTTAATTGTCCTCTGTGCAGTTTGCATCTCCCCAGCCGCTCAAGACAGCCAGCTGGAGGGGTAGGGTAGCCTCTGCTTTGGCCTTCTGCTGCTAGTGTCTTGTCTTTGCACTCTCACGGCTAACATGGAAAACACCAACCTCCGTGGCATAATCACGGCTCACTGCAAACTTGAACTCCCGGACGTTCTCAGGAGTTCCGACTCATAATCCCATTATTCTCTTCCACTGGGCATGGAAGCCTGTCAGTCAAGAGAATCATTAGTTCCCACTCAACACAACCCACCAAGTGAAAAGAACCAGCCAACTACATAAAAGGGAATGGTGACGGTGACTGATGATTATGATGACAGTATTTATTATTAGAAGTATCACTAAAACTTACATTGTATGTTTACTATGAATAGTTATATTTCTGTCAACAGAAATACTCATCCCTGCACCAACATCCATTGCAGTATGAAGTGATAACACCACGAGATCCCCCTCCACACCCTACACTGCCTCTCTAGTCCCTGGGATCCTGGCATTTCCCCCTAACCTGTGGGATATGAAGCATGTCCTTTAAAAGTCATGGAACCTCACAATTGCTAAGGTCCCTTGCAGGGCTCTGATTCTGTGAGTCTGGAACTCTCACCCTAAAGCCGAGTTTCCTGGCCTCAGCATTAGTAACATTTGGGGCCAGATAATCCTTTGTTGTAAGAAGCCAGTCTGTGTTTTGTGAGGTCTTTAGTGGCAGTCCTGCCCTCTACCAACTAAACATCAGTAGCACTCCCAGCTGTGATGACCAAAAATGTCTCTAGACTTGCCACATTTCCTCAAGGGGACAAAATCCACCTACCCCCTTGAAAACCACTGGCCTAGATTAACTTAAAATGCTGCTGAATACCACACTCCAATTCTTCAGCAATTGGTCAACCTATAGTTTTTCTTCACTCTTTTTTTTTTTTTTTGAGATGGAGTCTCGCTCTGTCACTCAGGCTGGAGTGTATTAGCACCATCTGGGATCATTGCAACCTCTGCCTCCTGGATTCAAGTGATTCTCCTGCTCCAGCCTCCCGAGTAGCTGTGACTACAGGCATGCACCAACACGCCCAGCTAATTTTTGTAATTTTAGTAGAGATGGGGTTTTACCATGTTGGCCAGGATGGTCTCAATCTCTTGACCTCATGATCCTCCTACCTTGGCCTCCCAAAGTGCTGGGATTACAGCCATGAGCTACTGCACCTGGCCTCTTTTCTTTTTTTAAACAAAATCTCCTTTTCACTTGGCAATACCACTCTTGCTTCCCCTGTTAAGGGGATTTGTGAGTAAGCATTTTTATACCCTCGTCACACTCTCCATGATATTCACTCATGAAAAACCACACATCTTTTTATTCAATTGTCCTTTATGCAGTCTGCATCTCGCCAGCAGCTCAAGACATTCCGCTGGAAGGGCAGGGTAACCCCAAACCTATCATTGACACCTTGGTCTTCCACTGCTAAAGTCTTTTGCCTTTGCACTCTCACAGCTAACAGTGAAAACACCAACCTCCATGGCATAATCATGGCTCACTGCAGCCTTGAACTCCTGGGTGTTCCCAAGGAGTTTCCACTCATAACCCCATTATTCTCTTCCACTGGGCATGGTAGCCTGTCAGTCAAGAGAATCATTGGTTCCCACTCAACACAACCCATCAAGAGAAAAGGACCAGCCAAGAAGATAAGAGAATAATGATGGTGGGTGATGATGGTAATTAATTATTATAATCAGTAGGAATAGTAGGAGTATCACTAAAACTTACATAGTAATGCTTACTATGAATTACTCTACATATATCCCAAGCATTCTGTGGACTAAAGTTGTCAGGAAAAACTATCCAAACTTAGGAATGGGTAGGAGATTCCTGGGCGTCTTTTAAGTGAGTTACTGGGACTCACTGGGAATATCTGTTTCTATAGAGTAGGCGCCTTTGATTAACTTTCTGTTGAGAAGTTTACTTTTGTAACTTTGTAACTAACTCCTGTGGCTACTGTAACAAATGACTACAAACTCTGTCTCAAAAAACAAAACAAAACAAAACAAAAAACAAACAAACAAACAAAAAACAAAAAACAAATGACTACAAACGAAATGGCTTAAAGCAGGGGTCCCAGCCCCAGGGCCTGAGGCGGGTGCTGCTCTGTAGCCTGTTAGGGACCTGGCCACACAGCCGCGGGTGGGCGAGCCGGCGAAGCTTCACCTGCATTTACAGCTGCTCCCCACCACTCCCATGACTGAGCGCCACCTGCTGTCAGATCAGCGGCAGCATTAGATTCTCGTAGAAGCGTAAACCCTACTGCGAACTGCGCATGCACGGGATCTAGGCTGTGTGCTCCTTATGCGAATCTAACCCCTGATGACCTGTCATTGTCTCCCATCACCCCCAGATGGGGCCGTCTAGTTGCAGGAAAACAAGCTCAGGGCTCCCCTTGATTCTACACGATGCTGAGTTGTATAATTATTTAATCACATATTATAATGCAATAGTCCCTGGTGCCAAAATGGGTGGGGACCACTGACTTAAAGCAACAGATGCTGATTCTCTCACATTCTGGAGGCAAGAAGTCTGAAATCAGTTTCAGACTGATTTTGTATCAAAATCAAGGTGCCAGCAGGACCTTGTTCCCTCTGAATGCTCCCAGGGAGAAACCATTCATCACCACTTCCAGCATCTGGTGGCTGCCAGCATTCCTTGGCTTTTGGATGCATCCCTCCGGTCTCCACCTCTGTAGTCACACCACCTTCTAATCTCCTGTCTGAGTCAAATTTTCCTCTGCCTCTCCCTTTCTAGGGCCACCTGGAAAATCCAGTATAATCTCCCCATCTGGAGACTGTTGTGGAGTGAATGAATCACAACTGTAAAGTCATATTTTTGCCATATGAAGTAACATTCACAGGTTCTAGGATTGGAATGTGGGTATCTTGGGTGGAATGCATTTTTCAGCCCATCTCTGTAAGGATAGCTGCAAAGTTGTAGGAAACTAAGAGCACCATAAATGACTCTTGCAATGATTTTTTTTCTGGTGGAGAGTATACACCTCTTGTAAGGTAAATTCTCATTTGAACTGGACTTAACACCTTATTGATTCTCCCATGAATTAATAAGTTGAATGAAAT